TGTAGTTAGATAACTCATGCAAGTAACTCTGACGCTTACCTGACTGCTCTCACAGACTACCAGTTTCATGAAAGACTACCAGTTTCATGAAAGACTACCTGGAGGACTACTTTCTGTTGCCAGCTGTCAGATGAGTTGGTCTGTGTAACGCAGAAGACTAAACTTGTATGATCACTGTGACAGTAAGTTCCTGAAACTTGACAACCACCTCTGCAAAGGTCAAGCTGACCTCACAGGGTAAATGCCTCTGGGAACTTTGGAGATCCAACTTCTAGGACTAATGTGACCTATACCCTGGTGACATTTTGAATTTTCTTTCTATTTTTTAAGTTAACCATGGGTAAAGACTATTTCTTGGAGCGGTTTGAAAGTTTTGAAATATTATTATGTTTAAAACAGGGGGGAGAGGTTGACACTGGCCCCAGAGTTCTGAAAAAAGCTGTTTACCAACAAGACAGATACAGTATGGATACCAACAGTATGACCTTCCTTTTAATTTCTCTCTGCCCTGTTCAGCCTAGAGTGGGAGAATGGTTCAGACCCCTCTACTGGTGTAGTGTTTACAGCCCGAGTAATGCAGTGGGAGCTGAGTTTCACTAGCAGCTGAACTAACGTCAGGTTGTTGGGATAGTTTTGAAAATTGAAAAGAATCACACGGTGTTTTCAGGTGATATTCCTGCTGTAACACAGTTTAAGGATTGTCCTTGTAATGGAGAGAAGAGGAAATATTGTATGATATTAAGGTGACAGGATGGAGCAATGCTTAATGGATGTGGGAGGAGGTAAGGGGATCAGTGAGAGGACGGGCACGTTTGATGCTGTGAATACTTTGTTGCTCTGGTTGAAGCTCTCTCTACTCTCCTTATCTCAATTTTACTTGGCATCTGAACTTTGCTGGAACAGGGGTTTGCCAACCACAGAGTTACAGCTGCCAAATCCCCTTTGAGCATCTGTGCTTATGTGAGGGTGGAATGGCAGAGTTTTGCTCTGCATGGTTCTAGTTGCATCTTCCTGCTGATCCCTTTCCTAGCACTCTATTTGAAGATGTCAGCCACTTTTAGGATTTTCAGCAAACATTTAGACTTTGATTGGAGGAACATTGAATATACGGCATCTGTCAGTGGAGCTGTTATTTTGTGTTTCTTGTGGCCAGCTACACACTTCCTATGGCAGCTGCATAGGTGAAAAAACCCAGTCACTGGTTTGCTGTATAAACACTATTCCCAGTTATTTGAGCAAAGTGCAGAGCCCAGCTGTGGTTGTGTTTGGTCTTTTTAAGTTACTGCTGAAGGCTGGAGATGCTCCATAAATTGCAGTTACCCTATTGAGGGATGGAAGGGAAAATGTGTGGGGTTTTGTTTATTTTAATTTTCTTTCTTACTCTTGCTTCCCCTCTTACTCCAAAGGCTGGTGTAAGCATAGCTATTAATTCATCTGACCATAAGGATTTCTTAGGGTTTTTCTGATAGGACTTTCCAGGAGAGCAGTACTTCTGATTCTTGCTGTAGTCACTTCCTCTTTTTTCCCAGGGGCCTCCTGGAACTGGATGCTTGAGGGTCTTAAGCCTAGTTCCCTTCTAGGGGGACTAGGGACAAGAAGGGAGACATCATGAAGTACGAAATTGTCACTGCTATAAACTTATCCTTTTCCTAATTTTTATTGGCAGGTCTAGGCAAATGGAAGCCTTTTTCTAAGTTTCCAAAGCTAGTTCTCACCTCTAGACAGATACATGCTGATGCAGTTGCATTAACTCAGCAGGGTCACTCTTCTATACCTCTGAGAGTAGGTTTAGATAAATGACTCATATTTAAATGCCAAGCAATCACAAACCTTGTCAGTTTGGGATATGAAAATCTTGAGGTTCCTGGTAAGATCCCACCTGCCTCTCTTATCAGCAGTGGCCTTGCAGATGAAAATGGCCACGTGGTCTCTCCAGCGGTTGCTGCTGTTCTAGTGTCTGAAATAATTGAAGTGCTGGAAGCTAGCAGAAGACAGCACTGAAACACTCTGAACTACATTCTCCTGAGTGTATTAAACTCAGCGTTCACAGGAGTGTTTAATAGCCTAAAGCCAAAAGGGCCCATTAGCTCATGTGGGCTGACCTCTGGTATATCATAGACCATTACATTTCACCCATTTATCCCTTTATTGAGCCCAGTAACTTGGATTAGACTGAAGTATTTTGAGCCCTGTAACAAAAAATTAATTTGGCTTACCTATTCTAGCAGTGAACCTATGCTTAATGCTTCAGAGAGAGGTGAAAATCCAGGAGCAGCAGCAGCATCCTTGTCTGTGTGAGCTGGGGGGCTGTTTCCCTGCTTAAGAAAAGTAGCGGGAGTGATTTTTCCAGGTACAAGTGAAATATCTGTACTCTGATCAGCCCTGTTGAGTGCATGCCGTGGCCAGCCCTGGTATTTCAGAGACAAGTAGGGGAACAAGGCAAATGTATCTCACTATGTACGCTGAAGAGCACTTTACCTTCTGGTCCCTGCAAACTGTTGGTTGGAGTAATGATGTTTATTGGCCAATAGCATGTTATTTAGAGGTGGGAACAGTGTTGAAATACGTTGTGTGGCTGGGAAGGAGATCATCATGGAATTTAACATTAAAAATCTGCCAGTACTTCAGCTACTGTTGAACCATTGCTACTGCAGTTGTACTCTTAGTTCTAGGCAGTCTTTAAATATGAACTTAAGTCTCATTAAAGCTATGAGGATGGGAAGCATAAGCCCAAAATTATATATATCTGGTGAAGCAATGACCTGAATTCAGACCATAATCTCTCTTTCTGCTTTAGGCTTTGGTGATATAAGATAGCGAACAGCTTGCATTACTACTAACAGTATTTGAAGTAAGAATAAAGTTTGATGGACCTTGATAGAAATTAGTCTCTTTGGTGTAAGAGGACGTGCTTTCTGTTGATTACTTTAAGAAGTTATAGGAATTGGAACAGGATTTTTTTTTTTTCTTCCTTCCTTCTGTATGCTTTTATTTTGAATCTTGACTCTGTCTGCTATTTTCTATAAATCTTTTCTCTGGGCAGGTATCTGATAACTTAGAGATTAGTTGCTGACAAATAAGCATTTTCCATTTTCTTGCCAATGCTTCTGATCCATGAAAGCAGCTGAAAAAAGGGATAGAAAAACCTGTAAGAAGACGGAGTTGTGATTTGGGGCTTTTTTTAAAGCTCTTTGCACACTAGCTGTCTTTTTTTTTTTTTTAAATACTATTCTTGGTTTGAAACTTTAATTCTGGGCGTACATTTGGTGCCCAGATGGTGCAGACTCACACAGAAGCCCATCACGCTGTCAGGGCAGGCGGATACATATGTAAATATTTTGCCTTTTTACCCTATAATATTTGGCTTTGTCTAATCTAATTGCTGTCAAAGGCAGAATGTGAAGAATGCTTAAGAGGAGCAAACAATGAGGACCTCAAATGTTTGTATTCCACTAACTTTGGAAGATGCTAGTAGACTGTGATGTAACTAATAATTTTGTATCATGGGTTTTCTTATTCATGCTGTGAATTCATGGTGTATCATCTAAGTTCATGCCAAGTAATATTTTACAACCTGAGGTAGAAACTTTTATTTCTAGTGGCATAAAAGTGTCTTTAACCCCTTGGAGCTGTAGATATAAGGCTAATGGCTCTGCCTTTTCAGTTCAGGCTGATGGTAAGCATTCTCTACCTGCCTCTTGGTGTATAGCACTCTTTCTTATTTATATAATTCATTGCTTCATTTAATTTATTCTATTGAGTGCCTGTCTTAATGTATTTTTAATACATGAAAGCATTTCCAGCATAGCTGCTTCTCTTACCAGTGGTAGCTAGTAGCAAACAGTGTGGCCAACCACATAAAGGATGCCTATTTAGTTATTAAAGGCCTGATCCAAAATACCGTAATATTAATAGAAAAATGACTTTCATGAGCTTTGAATCTGACTGCTTACTGAGAATGTCTAATAATGCCAGTGTTAGTTGAGGATGCTGGCAAAAAGGATGTAGGAAACCTTACTGTTTTTCATTGATGCAAGAATGGCTGCACTACCACAGGTTTCTGATCAGATGCAAAATTTGGCTAGGCTATAGTTCATGGAAAGCACCAGGCTATGCCAGACTTATTCCTCTAAGGACACTAACTATGCAGAGAGATGCCAGGAGATCAGGGCCTGGAGGTGTGCTGATTGTAGAGGAAGGAAAGTTGACTGTTAAAGGAGAATGTGATAATGTAACCAGAAGACAAACAGAAGCAGCATGTGGTGCTGTTTTCCATGGAACATAGATGAGACCCTGACTGTGTGGGGCGGGGAGGGGGGAATTGCCCATTTCACCTATTCATGTTGTCATCTGAGGCTCATTATTCAGGGGTGCCAATAAATTCTATTTCTGAGCCAGCTATGAAAGTGTCTGAGTACCTTCGATAGACATATCATAGCCTGTCAGGTATCCTTCTGCTTGTCTTGCTGCTTGGCCGTGAGGTGGAAGTGGGTTAGGAAAATTTGTTCACTATCTGATTATGTTATTTTCTCTGTGCTGTTTTTTTATTACTGAAGGAAAAATCAAAGTTGTTTACTCTTTGTATCTCCTGGAGTATGGGCATTGGGACACACTGCCACACAACAAGCAAAGACATGAATTTACAGTTTCTACGCCGTAAATGCTGGCATGCCTGCTTCTAGCTCATGGCTCAGAAAATAAATGAAAGGAGGAGTGATTTGCCACATATATCTATCTATATATCTGATGGTGAAGGCAGATACTCTGGCAGCTACTGCAGGGCCTTTGGTGTATCATAAGTTTGGATGGGAACTTACCCTACAGGTAGCTTGTGCCCATCATGGGCTAAAGATGGTACTAATTGTCACAGTGGACTGATGGTATAGATTGTTCTGCTCCTAGCCTTTGCATTTGGTAGTCAAGCCTATCTAGCCTACAGCTGGGAGGACGTGTTGCAGTCATTTAACAGCACTATCTCTTCTGCATTTTGCCATTCCCAGGAGCAATTGAGCGGTGCACGTACATCAAGTACCACTACTCCTCAGCGACCATTCCCAAGAACCTCACCTACAACATCACCAAGACAATCCGCCAGGATGAGTGGCATGCCTTGCGTAAGTGTTGCTGGCTTTTTTCTGTTTTCCTGACGTGCGGACTGCGGGAGATATACTCACTGATAAAAGAGAAAGGAGGCTTTGACTGACAACCCACTCGGAGCCCTCTTCTCACATACAGTTTGTCTTTGCAGCAGACTGATCGATTTGTTCTTAGGACCTACATCTCTGTTTGCTGCTGACTAGAAATTCTGCTGAGGCATGAAAAAGTGGCAGCGGGGAAGAGGCATTCGTATGCAGAGATGAATATTGAGTTAAATACAAAAATTAATAACAAAATCAATGCCCTATTTTTTAATTCAGTAGAATGCTCTATATGTGAGTGTATTCTCATGCAGTTCATGCTGCTGCTGAGTTTCCTGCTTCCAGCAGAATTCATTGCTGGCTTTTATTGCAGAATATGTCCTGCTGCCTGCAGCTCCTGGGTGAGTGTGGCATCACTCTCCTTTGAAGATCTAGGAAAAAGAAAAGCTGCACCCTTTAAGGCACCAGGAACTAAGCTTAGCCCTTAGTGATAATTGTAGCCAGTGGTCACCAACTTGTAACGTTTGCTGAAGCAACAAGATCTGACAGGGATGGAATTGCCTTGAGATGTATTGGCTGGCCTTAAAGTTTTTCTCCTTCTCATCTCGGAAATGGAAAAGGGGTTTCACTGGTAAAATAGAAGAGGTAGGATTTCACAAGGAAGGATGCTACTGCAACTTGGTCTTGTTACTTGACAGTCATGGTGACTGATGAACGTCCTGAGCTCCTCTGCGTCAGTTGGAGCTCCTTCAAAATGGCAGGGGTTGAGGGATGCTGATTCTGGTTGAAAGCCTTGAAGGGTGGTAGTTAGCAGCTACTGTCCAGACTGTATCTGTTTGAGAAATGTGTAAGATCTCTGGTGTTCCCGGGGCTCTCAGTCCATATCTCACTCCTGCCTTATGTGGCTGTTGCTTTGGGAGGGTCCTTTTAAGCTCTAGGAAGGAGAAGGTATAATGGTATAGTTGATTTCCTGCATTGGTGGGGTCAGACCTGATTTGAGACTTATTGGTGCTTGTAGACCTGCCTTGTCAAATCTGGTAAAGCACTAAGAAAGCTCTACATGGTTTTGCTAAACTTATATTTTTTCTTTTTTTTTTTTTGAAATGTGTCTGTGGATAAATACATATTTTTATTGTGACATGAAGAAGAAAAGGAATATTGAGCTTGGGCCTCTTACAACCTTCTAAGAAGCTTATCTTGCAAAATACTGTGCTGTACTCATTTGTCCCTGAAATCAGAAAATCAGGCAGTTCAGTTCCCTTTAGGTTTTCTGCTACCACCAGTAGCTACCATCACTTCTGCTGGTGTCAGTTTTATGTTAACATTGCTCATCTATGGGCAAAAAGAAATGCACCCCGCAACTAAGACCCCTTTTGTTAGGTTCATAACGCAGTAGGAAGGGTCTTTGGTTTATACTTTTGGCTGTGTATATATGCTTTTGTCACTGCTTTGAGCAACAATGACTTTTCTGCATCTATCCACTGGGAATCTCACTAATTAACACAGAATTTATTGTCTTAAAGTTCATTTTTATTTCAGCAATGGCTCAGGTAAAGGGCTATTCATAAGCTGTATTTGTATTTTTTCAGCTTAAATATAATTACTAATGTTAGTAATTAGGGCCATGTTAGTCCCTTGGTGTGTGCATTCTTTGGTGGGATCAGCAAGTTCTGGAGCCTGCTGCGTTGGCAGCTGACGGAGCCTTCAGTAGGGCATTCCTCAGTCTCCAAAGTGTCAGTCTAGACACACTGTGCTCACACACTGACATATCTGATTTGGTCTGAGGCACTTTCAGGGTGAGGCTGTTTGTTCCCTCCCTGGAGAGGGTACACTGGTGTGTGTGGGTGTGCATGCATATTTTTGACCCAGATTTTCTTGCTAGTTCATGAGTCAGGTAAGTGTAGGTAGTAGAGGTGGACGGAATTGAAGTTTCAATCTCCCTGTCTAAAGACAGGAAAGGAAAGAAACACTTTGAAGCTCTCTCACCATTGCACTGAACTGCTCTGGAGAAGAGTGTTTTATATATGGGTTAGCCACTGGAGGATCTGGAGATCACTACATTTTAAGAACAAACTGAACCCATTTGACTATTTCCTGTGTAGGAACAGTGACCAAGCTGTAAAACATCTGTTCTAAAAGACAAGAGCAATAGCAATCTTCTCAAATCTGGTTTTGGTTGAGAGGGATGTTCTCCCTTTAGAAAACATTTGCAATGGAGCAGAGATAAAGTGAAATAAGATCTCAGTCCCTTCAGAAAGTCCCTGTAATTTTAGTCCCTGCCTTAGCAGCTGACCTCTGGACTAGCTTCATCTGGGGCGCAGCTACTTCAGCCCACCACTGCTCATCCTGCAGCAGAATAGCATTTCCAATTCAACCTGGCCATTATTTTCATGTGAACAATTCTCTACTCAGAATTTCCTTTTCACTTAGTGTTGTGACAAACAGTGAAGAAACAGGGCCCAGGCCTGTTGTTCCTTATGCTCTTGCCATGGGTAATTTCTCAGTTCTGTAGCATAAAATGGAAGAAAGGCAAAAAACCAACCCTATGTCCTGATGAAACACTGAGGCAAAATGGCATCCTGGAGAATTTCAGAGAAACTGGAAAGGTGAAACCAGGCTGTCTGATCACCCTACTAAAGAAAATGCCTTTTCCAGGCTTAAGCTACTGCTGTGCTTAGACATAATCTGTATTTCAGTAGTGGTTATTTTGCTTCCCTGGTGCATGGGCAGCAAACTGTGGGCCTGGTAAGGAAATCTGTTGTTTTGCCTGCATACTGGGCTGGGGGAGCAGAAGAGAGATGGCTCCAGCTGTGCCCAGCAGACTACTTTTTTCAGACTGGTAGGCAGGACTGATGGTCCAGCAGTTTCTCTTGAATTGCAGGAGTGGGTGAGGAACAATTAATTTGAGACTGAGGACCCCATGGCACCAGTCAGCACAGAAAGCAGATATTCCTCTAGCTGGCTATGCTAGAAGAACCCAGGGGAGCAGCTGGACCTGGAGGAATGGTTGGACCTGACTATAATTTTTGATTTTATCTTTTTTCATTCTGTTTGACATTTTCAAGATGGAACCTTTGCTCTAAATTGATTGCCTATGGCAGCATGAGCTGGGGAAATAAGACTTCACTTCCCTGCAATCACTTCCTCTCAACTATCTCTGGTTAAACAGGGATGGAGGGAAGGATGACTAGTATTGCCAGCCCTCACCTGTCAGGAGATAAACATTCATCTGATTAGACAAAACGAGTGCTTATATGAGCTGCGAGAAGAAAGGAAGGAAAGCTGTGTCCAACAACTTTGAGCATGAGTAACTATCTCTTTATGGAAGGTGCCAGTGTAATGATATGATTGAGTCAGTATTAGGCATTTACCCTGTCACATTTTGGGCCCCAGTCTTATGCACAGAAACTTGGTCCATAGTTCTGGTTGCTCAAAAACTCTAGCAGCATCACTGATGCTTTTAGAATTGGAGAGAGATATATTGGAACAAAAATTAAAAAAATCTGAACAGTTCTGTGTTTATTCACATACTCAGTTCCATGAGTTTTATGCTGGTTTTGTAGGTTCACTTTCAGTGTGCTACAGATTTGTGTTCACAAAACATGGGGAAGATGATTATGGCAGGGGGTTGAGCCGTGATGTGATACAGGCATTGGGAGGGGTAGGAGGCATTTTTAGATAATGGAATAAGCATTTTAACTGGAGGCTTGTACTTTAAGAAAGTTGACCATAAAAAGGAGGCTCTGTTGATGCTATTTTATTTTTTTTTCTCTCTTGTCCTAAAAAATTCAGGAAACCATTGTCTGGTATATTATGGCAAAGAAGGTGAAGGCCTGTGTTTGTTTTGAAATGGTAGTACTGCCAAGGCAATGAGGGGATGTGATATATTCAGTTTGGCACTTTCCAGGAGCTACCAGTGCTAGTACCCCCCTGTGAAGGGTAAGGCACTGAAGACCCTGCGAGTATTTAGTCTATTGGCTTACTCCTTGGAGCAAACCAGAAACCTGTTGGGTTGATGGAGTTTTATACCATCAGAAGGACTGTAGGAAGAGGATTCCATTGGTTTTTGTTTGTTTGCCTTTCAAATAGGCTATAGACAACCCGGGCTCTAAATTGATCTTCTGCTGCAGTTTTTAAAAAAACAACTGTTTTTGTGAAAAAAGGTAACCAAAGCATAGGAGATACATGTGGAGAGGAATTTCTAAGTATGCTTAAGCCAGCTATCTGCATTTCATTGTCTTGCTGGGAGAGTTAGGATTAGAAACTTATTTTGAGGAAGCCAAATAGCACAAAAAAGGAAGGAAAACACAGATAAGGGGAGAGGGGATTGTCTTCATACTTTCTTAGAGCCAATCTAGCATGATGGTGTTTTATTTTTGCCTCTAGCTGCTTTTGTTTAGACCTCATGATTCCTCGCTCATTTTTTACCTTTGAACATATTTTATTTGCCATGGGACTTCTTTGTGTATCCATTCATTGAACGATTTCAACAAGAACAACTGTGTAGGTATTACAGGATTCTGAATTAGCCTGCTGTGGGCTCAGACCTGTCTGGAGCCTTCCAAGGCTAACACTTGTGGGTCACTGCAATCTTCCTTGCTGAGGTCTCTGTAAGGAAAAGGTAAAAGGGAGCAACTTTTCCAGGGCTACCTTCTTTCCAAGAAAGGTGAAAAAAAGATTGTGGATTTAAAAAGCTGCAAACAAACAAGTTGCTGATGTGTCTTCTTGAAGAGTGAGGTTTCTTTTCCTCTTACAACAAATTAAATCACTGCTTCTTCCCTTTCTTCTGCCTTGGTAGCTGAAATGGGGCAAATGCTGCATGGTGCCCAGAGCCTTTGCATGGCAGAGCTCCCAGTGCCTTGCACTATATCACATGAAAGTCTCCACATCAGAGGAGAGATGAAAAATTCTTCCTTCTCTCTAAAAGCTTTTATTTTGCTGACTCACAGAGCCTATTGTGTGAGGTAGATAGCCAG